TCTGAGCTTTGTGCACAACTTCACTATTTCCTGAATTAAGCACAGCTCTTTTATTTCCTGTCTTACATTATTGGACAAAGGGATTAAGCCATGCGTGTCTGACTATTGGCACGCCGCTTTGCGGACCAAGGTTGAAAAATACTGCATTAAATTGCACATAAAATAACATGACCATAAATGGTCCACATCCACATTACTGTTTGTGAAACTAACATACTGGAGAATTTCATCACAATAATATTAAATAAACAAGTATGTACCTGATCTTTTGCATGCTGTTGGTGAAGCTCTGGATGACCCCTGTCAGATGTAGACAGAGTCAATGTTCCTCTTCTGCAGCTGGTTGAACAGCATGTCCACATGTGGCATGATCTTGTGACACAATGCCAGCAGAAAGCCGAAATCTTCTTCCTCCAGCATTCTCACAAAGCCTCCTGCCTCTCTCTCAGTGATTGGATCAAATTCATCCTAGTCTCTGATCATCTGGAAAAATCTGAGGTCATCCTTGTGCTCATACACTGTGTTATCATCTCTCTCTTGGACAAAATGTGCCGGTTCTGATCCACTTCTTCCTTGTGTTTCTTCACTGCAAGCCTGTGCCCCTCGTCTCTAGCTGCATGGCAATGTTAGCTCTGCCTAGCATAGCTAGCTTCACCATGTTGTCCATGTGTGCCCGGGATAACTCGTGTTTCTTCACCTCCTCAGAAAAATGTTTCATGTCCGTAACTCCTGACTCAATCCATGCCTCATCTGTCCCAGTCGTTTTGAATAACAAACACGGAAAGCAAAATAATGCATTAGCGTGATTGCATCCAGATAGCCAAGCCTTCCTGTGTACCAATTTCGGGAGAAGCCTGTGTGTACAGTTTACCTCTCTCCTTCTCCTGCTGGCTTATCTTTACGTCGGGCTGATCTGGTCCAAGCTCTTTGACATTAAGTTTTTCCACCATAGTTCTCCTCTCGAACGGATACTGGAGAAGAGACCGGACTGAATTCAGTGGCTGCTGAGGTCTGGTATCCATGCTGGTTGTAGGCTCACAGGTCTATTACATCTGCGTCACGACCAAAAACGTGCTGGAGTAGTCGAGACTCTGCCGAGTTCTACCGAACACCAACGAAAGCCTTGGGCGGTACCTCTATCGCCCATTATGCTTCTGAAACAACGTCAACGCTGATTGGATACATTCCCATTCCTACCGTTTGATTTTCTTGTCAGCAATTGGCTGGCTGCTTCCGTGCTGTTTGGGCGATTGAAACACAGCCTACAGCCTTTCTGTCGCCTCTACCGCTCGGCAGAGAGCTTCTCACCAATATAGATATATGAATTCTTTTTGTTACAAATCACACAATTAACTTAGAATATGTGATTATTGTTAATTTTATTTATTAATTTTTTTAAATAAAAATTAAAAACACTGGGGAAAACTGGGAGGGCGGCGCCCTATCGCCCTCTACTGGCCAGCCACCACTGGTGATTAGTAATGTAAAACCGAAGTATAAAATGAACTTTAATCAGTTACAAAATGTGTAAAAAGCTTAAACATTCTAAAATCTCTAGGAATAGAAAAATACAAGAAAATGGAATTTGGATTAACTTAACAGTTAGCGGATTTACTTACTTCCAACTCTTATGAACTTAGTCATTGAACTATAGAAGCTCACAGCATGACAACATCAAAGTCAACCAAGTCTGTATGTTATGTTTAGACATGAATTATATCCATGTACACACACATACACTCATACAGAACTTGTGTGACTTAAAACAGAGAATAGAGGGAGAGGAGATAAAAATCATCCCCCCTTAAATACTGCTGGAGATACGACTAGTGAGGGAGATGTAATTGGAGGCAGCTTGCCGATAGGTGGTGGAGTACCATTTGGACCTTTAGGCGTCAGAGTTAATTTTGGACGGTTCCCCAAAAGGCGGAGTGAGCCCCTTAAGGTGGACAACTGTGTGGAGAAGTGACGGAGTAGTGCGTACACCAGCCCAAGTGACAGACAGCAGTTGAAGAATGTAGTGAAGAAAATGACAGAGTCATAGGAGGACCAGGAGTAAGTCACAGGTTGAAAGGAGATGTTATCATAGAAAGGAGAAAACTCTACAACAGACCTGTGTCTATCTGGATCCAAGCAATATAGAGAGACCTCACCAGAGAGGACCATGGTGGTACTTCCCTTTTAAGCTTGGTGATGCGACGTTTGACAGCGGCAAACTTGATGGAGTTGACTGATTAGACACCCAAGTTAAAGAGCGACCCAAATGCATTATCAAATGAGAGAAACTCAGAGAGGAAACACTTCTTCCTAACATGGGCACCAGAAATGACAGAATTACAAACTGTGAATTTCTGTATCTGTAGTAGCAAGTGAGAGGTGTCGGCATTGGAGTGCCACATTCTCGTGTGAGTTAAGTTGGTACCTGTATTAGAAAGCGCAGTTTAACAGTTTCCTAGCGCATGCTATGTCAGGGTTAAACTTTACAAAACTCTTTTGTGTGACAACAGACCTGGGCACTTGTTGTGATCTGGGCTCTCCCTGAGAAGGATAGCTAAAGAGGAACCAAGTTGAAACGTGGAAGAGAAGGTTGAGGAGGAGGCGTAGCGGCGTCGAACATCCCGAAGATGCGCGCAACCAGCATAAGATACTTTAATAGACCAGAAGCCTGAAATTTTGGATGATGTAAATCGTAGACTGGCGCAGGAATGGCCTTTTGAGGGTTCGGCGCAGGGGTGTGCTCTGGAGGGCCCTCGGTTGACGCGAAGGTGCAGCCATAAAGATCAGAGTCAGCCATTAGTGGTACAGGGCAACCTTCAACCCCCCCCCCCCCCCCCCCCCCCCCCCCTTTGGTAGGTGAGACACCTACTTCAGGGCGTGAGGTCTTGGGTGCCGACTGTAATGGTGTAGGATCAGTGATGTCATCAACCCCCCACCCCCCCCCCCCCCCCTTTGGTACGTGGAGTTCCAACCACAGGGTGCGGGGTCTCCGTTGGAGTGTCAGTGCAACCTTCAACCCCCCCTTCGGCAGGTGGTGGTCTCACCGCAGGGTGAAGGAAGTCAGCTGCAGAGATGACGCAGACACTAGAGTGGTCACTGACCAGAGAAACTCTAGACCGACTGGTCATCTGGGCAATGCTGTTGTTGTGAACAACAGCTAGGAAGAAATTAGGTCCTCGTGACTGAGTCAACTGGGTACAGAGCCTCCATCCACCGACTGGAACAATAGGCCTAAAGTGATTGAGCAGGACTTCGCCCAACAGAAAAGGAAAATCTCAATGTCAGACACAAACACTGGGTGTCTTGCGGAGATGCCACCCACTGAAACTTCAAGGAAAGCTACAGACGACAAGGTCGAGGGTTAATGCTAACGGAAGCAACCTCACCAGACCTCACAGGTGTCACAGGATGCACCGCTGGGGCATGTTTCACTTTTGGAGGACTCGTCGTTGCAACCAAGTCATGTGCAGGTTCAACAGGTGCAGGAGGTTGTGCACTCTGTTCAGCAGAAGAGAGGAGTGGAACTCTATTAGTCTTTGAGTGGTCTTCATCCAAGACACGAAGGGCATACTTGGTCTCAGGAGGCCAGCTACCAGACTCAGCTCTTGACCTTGGAGCAGCAGGGCTGTGGTCAGCATGGTCGCGGCACAGCACATAATGGTAAGGGCTAGGGCCTTCATAGTTCACAGTTCCGTCAGTTACAGCAAGTGGTCATGGTAGAGGTGCAGAGTGTGGATAGGCAGGTCTGACTTTTTCTTGGGGCACTGGAGGGCAGACAAACCCTGACCCCCTCTGTCAGAAAAACAGCAGCATGCTTCCTGGCCTCAGACCATCACACCACCACCTGCATGTCTGACGGTTGCTTTGATGTTTTAGTGTTAATTATACTCTAGATGGAACGGGACAAACACCTTCCAGAAAGTTCTGCTTTCACCTTGTCAGTCTACCTACAGTATATTCCTAAATATCTTGGGGGTCATTAAGATGCTTTTTTCAACAATGTGAGATGGATTGTTGAGGGTTCTGTTGTTGTTGCTGTTGACTATCAGAGGTGTGGGCCTTAGAACACATGAGATGTTACAGGAACTGATTCCAGGCAGGAAACTAATGAGAAGTGCAATGACCTGAAATAAGATAAGATGTTATTAAACAAAAGTGTGTTAAAGGTGTGGTCCACTTGGTCACTCTGAGTTTTTCATGCAAGCTTAACATGAAAATAATCTCCTACACTTATCTCCTGCTTTAACTTCTGATAGAAAATAGACGGTGAAAATGTAGGATCTGAAAAGCCTGACAGATCTACATCACAATGTCAATCAGCATTCACCCATCTTGACTCCCAACAGGGAAGGCTGTTGTTGGTTTAGTGTCCAAGAAGCAGCAGTGAACGTCTTGGCTAGTTTAAGCTAACCATTAGCATTAGCAACACCATCTCACAGCAGAAGCTCCTCCAGGCTTGTGTTATTTGTGAAGATAAAACATCCACGTTGCAAGTTAGTGGCACAGTTGTTATCCAATCAGGGGCGAGATATCCAAATATCAGGAAATAAGACTGCAAAACCTGCCATCCCTTACCAAAAAGAAGTACACTGAAGTATACTTGAAGTATACTAAAAATGAATACAGTATACTTCCAAGTTTACTTTCAATGTACTTATTACAAGTATAGTTATCCGAGTACATTTTTTTAAATACTACTAAGTATACTTTAATACATACTTACATTAAAGTTTACTTACATTTAGACTATACTTGTACTTGACTCTATCAGAAGTATATTTCACCAAGTAATGTATAAGTATACTTAATATATATATATATATATATATATATATATATATATATATATATATATATATATATATATATACTTATATAATATAATATATATCTAAGTATATATATATATAATATACATATATACTTATATATAATATAAGTATATATATATATATATATATATATATATATATATATATATATATATATATATATATGGAACTTTTTATTTTTGAATTAGAACAACAACATTTACATGGAGATGCATTTGAGTTTCTTCTTCCCTTCTCCAGGGCAGTGTTTCCCTGAACAAAGTTCGAATTTCCTTGTGGCCATAAGATCTATCCAACTTAACCAAATCACCAATCAGTACATATATTTCTGACAAGCTTTCTCTGTATTCATCTTATCTGCTCTCTACTACATTCTACATTTTACTTTGATCTAGCTAAATAACTCACCCAAAAGACAAAAATACATAAATAAAAAAAATAAAAATTAATAATAATAATTTTCACATGAGAGTACTATCTTTCTAACATTTGTTTTATTGGTTCCCAAATTTTTTCAAATTTCCCTAGTCCCAGTCATAGTCTTGCATTATTTTGTTCCATTTTGTAGACCTGTCTAACTCTGTCTCTCCACTGTGCCACCCTTGGGGGTTCTGTGTACAGCCATAAAACTGTAATACACTTCTTGGCAGTCATAAGCAGAATTCTGATTACGTATGTCTCCATTATGTGTGTAAGATAGCATTCCCAGTACAAACCATTTTAACTTAAATTGTAATTTCACATTCAAGGTTCTTTCAATTTCTCCCTAACACCTTCCCAGAATGGTATGAATTTAGGGCAGTCCAAAAGTATATGTGAAAAGTCTCCCACTAGCCCGCATTTTCTCCAACATAAATTTGAAACATTACTATTTAGACATGATAAGTGGAGTTTTAAAACATGCATCTTCACCTTCCATTCAAATTCCCTCCAAGACGGACTATTAGTTAGTTTATGGCCTGCTTCAAGTGTTTCCTCCCATTCCTCATCTGTTATCATTATGTTCACTTCCAGTTCCCATTTTTCTTTAATATCTATTTTCTTAACAATCAAATCCTGTTGTAAAGCTTTATATATTTTGAAATCAGTCCTTTTTGACATGTCCTTTCTGTTTAACATAATCACTTCCTCCATATTAAGTTTATCCTTGCTTCAAACTTTGCCTTATTTTGAAATAACTACTCTGTCTGTCTGTCCTAAATAACATATTAAGCATGAAATTACGAATTATTGTGAAATTACACGCACAGGAAGTGCATTTATTTTGTAGCATTTGCTCAGTCAGCTCTCGAAGCTTCTCAGCAGACTGAGAAGAGCAAGGGTTGGAGGTGCATTAACCGTCAGAGGTCGCGCTTCTGTTCTGCATCTGCACTTGACAGTCACTGGTTCTGCACCACTGAGCTAAATGTAAGTAGCCGCCATAAAAGTTGCTTAAATGTTTTAAATGTTTTTAATACGGACATGGTGAGTAATGTTGGCCACGTAGCAAGCTAATATGCTAAGTCATTGCATGAGTTAGCTGTGTTATTAACTTTGTGTGCGACTAAAGTCCGTTTATTAAATGAAATGAGCAGCGCTCTCTCATTATTAAAGGTCAGCATTACTTTAGATACTTTTTTATTAGACTTCTAGAGACTTATTCCCTCCATTTTTGTCCCCTCCATCATAATTTTTTAAACGTGACATTCTGAGAAAAAAATAAAAGCGGGAGCTCAGCGCCACCAAGTCAAACTTAAACGTCCACTTATTAAAAGTAAATGAGCAGTGGTCTCTTATACAGCGATGAAAAAATCAGTCTGTGTTGTAAACTATTTCCCCGTAGCACCCGTGCGATAGCTTTAAAAGCAGCCTGCTTTTTTTAACCGTAGAAGAGGATTGTGACCGCAAGAGACGAAGCGGTGCTGTATCTCGATGCTATGTTCCCTCCATTTTTGTCCCCTCCATAGTTTTTTTAAATAGTGCTCAGTTGCACATATCTTGAACCGCAGAACGCTGTTTCTATTAATTTCACAGTATTTTAGTGGTATAATTTTGTCCTTACTGTACGCTGTTACTCCAGATTCTTAAATGTTATGTTTTTAGCTTTGTGTGGATAAGTCAAATTACACTTGAATCTCCTCACACACACACACACACACACACACACACACACACACACACACACACACACACACACACACACACACAAACACACACACAATTTAGATGATTAATGATTTAGCTTCATATATAGTGGAGGACTGCCTAAATTTTGCAGACTAACACAGATCTACCTTGTGATTCACAATGTTTGTTTTCTCTACTGATTATGCTTCCTGGTGTAGATGTGTAAATGTAGAGCATCTGCGTTCCTATGAGCTGTCAGCCACACCGGGAAGCCTGTCTATGAATCTGCAGTCAGACTTCAATGATCCAACCCCACTCTCTGCACACAAGATTGATGGCATGCTGCTGTTGACCCCCAAGAGGTTCATACAAGTGAGACCACTGGTGAGTAATTCTCACAATCTGCATTTTTGATGGCACATCCTAAATAACATGACTATATATGCATGTATGTATGTATATATGTATACAGATTTGTCTTTTAAAACTGGTGAATATACAATTTACAGGTAATGCCTTTATGCTATGAGTATTAGAGCCACTGATGGAAAAAAAATATAGAATTCTGAGAAAATAAGTCATAAATCTGAGTTTAATCTCAGAGTTCTGACTGGTACCTAAAACAAAAAAAGGGAAATTGGGGAAGATTATGAGGGGGATCAGAATTCTGACTTAAATCTTAAAATTCAGGCTTTTGTTTGTTTGTTTGTTTTGATTTTTTTTAACAAAAAAATTCCTAAATAGTTTTTTGTTTGTTTGGTTTTAGGTTTATGAAAAAAGTCAGAATTCTGACTTTAATCCCAGAATTTTGAAATTATCTGACTTTTTTCTCAATTATTTTCTTTTTCTTCAGTGACTCTAATACTCTTAGGCAATAAGGCAGTATTAGGGCCACTGAAGGAAACAATTGAATACTGAGATAAATGTCAGAATTCTGACTTTATTTATTTTATTTATTTTCAGAATTTTTTCTTCTTCAGTGGCCCTAATACCCCTCCGTATTATGTAATGTTAAACATTTCAAATTAACTTTTGAATTCAGCAGTTTATCATTGGATTTAGATGCAGATATCACTGTCTTGGAAAATTGGTCAGAGCAATTTGGCATTGAGTTTGATTAGTAAACTTGACAGTATTTACACTCTTAATCTTCTTAGGAATTACATGATGTCCACACAAGGCGTACCACTGTTCTCCATGCCCTTCCTGTCTATCTACGTGAGGAAACCTCTGGGTTTTTGAGGACATGTGTGGTAAGTCCCAGTATTGTAAATTTGAACAAATCATTCTATTTATTTATGCATAAAGACAACACAAGGACAACGCACATGAACATTTTGGAAAATGTGCCATTGTTTCAACTACAAACCTTTGGCAAGATGTTTAAGCCTGCCACACACGAGAGCAATCAGCTGAGCAAACGGCCTCGAAGGACTGTTTGCTCAGCAGATTGCTCGCCATGTGCGCCTGATTTTCACTGAGTTTTCTGCCTCACGAGACGCTGAGGTGAATATCTGACCAGTTAGATATTTTGCGCCTCACGGGGTAAAAACTCGCTGTGTGTGCACTACTGAGCTGCTGGCTGAGCTGAAATATTCTAGTGGCCAATCAAAGCACTTTCTCCGCTCACATAACCCCAAGATGTATTCAGATGCAGCCCCTTACCCTGTCTGCGTGTCTGAAAAATAAACAAAACGGTACCTTGCGGATCGATGGGCCCACTGTTTCCATTACCCTTTCGGAAGGATTCTGGGTCTTCCAGGTGCATCTCTTGGAGTAAATTGGCATAAACTCCTTGCCTGGTCCATCTTTCCAGCTACTGTACCCATAATTTCCTAACCTTCAAATGCCGTGGCGGCGACGTTTCATCAACAAAAAAGGATAGGCATTTCCTCCGTTTCCAGCTCTGTCTGTGTTGTTTCTTTTCTGACATGCAGACAGGGGGCTGCCATCTTGGGGTCATGTGAGCGGAGAACGTGCTTTGGTTGGCCACTAGAATATTTCAGCTCAACCAGCAGCTCGGTAATGCGCACACGACGAGTTTTTACCCCTGTGAGGCGGAAAATATTTTAACTGGTCAGATATTCACCTCAGCGTCTCGTGAGGCGGAAAACTCAGTGAAAATCAGGCGCACATGGCGAGGTATCTGCTGAGCAAGCGGTCATTCGAGACCGTTTGCTCAGCAGATGGCCCTCGTGTGTGGCAGGCTTTAAGACACTGAGAAAAATCAACAATCACTGCAAAGAATTCAAGCAGCTTTCATTAGCATAACACTGGCACACACGGAAGCCATCTCACTTTATTCGTAAATGAGAGCACAAAGCAACAGAATGAACAGGAGTAGGGCTGGGCGATATGGCCTAAAATCAATATCACCATATGTTGAAGATCTCACCTTGATAACGATAAGTAGACGATAACTACAGGAATGCGCAGCAACAATATTTGTCCACTAGATGGAGCTGTCTCATGTATTACATTGACTAAAATTTTACATGACTCAAGGTGCTACAGCTTCTTAAAGGGACATAAATGTTGCCAACTTACACATATTTTCATTTTTTTATTATCAAATTTATTGACATGGGAAAAATTATCTGGATGAGAGACAAGAACTTGGATAACGATAAATCTTTGACATGTTGCCCAGCCCTAAACAGGAGTCTATCAGACTGCATTTATTATTATTTACATGAAAATCTACTGAAATAAAAATGGCCACAGTCAGAGTTTCAGTTCAAATGTGATTAGTGTATGATCTCCCTTTCATTTTTGTAAGGATGATACCAATGAGCCGGACCTCAGGGATGCAGCAGTTGTCCTCCTGACAACCATCACAGATGATGCAGAGAGTCCAGTTACGTACGACCCAGTGAGAATCTGTTATCCTAGAGGGTGGTGTGATTGTCAACATCTCCAGGCTTCCTGATGCCTTCCTGGTAATGTTCGGCCTCATCTATGCCTTACATCTAGATTATCCGAAGGGACTGACCAACACATTTGAGTTCACGCAGAAAATCTTACTTGGTCTTGATGAGTCTAAACTGTCACCCATGCTGCAGAGTCAAAAATGACCTGATGTTAGATGTGTAACTCAAAATCTGAAAGAGTGGTGGATTCAGATGGCTCACTCTGTTAGAGCATTGTCCACATCCACAATGTAATTTACTATTTGTCTGCTCTTTAATTGTTGATGTTAAAGTAACACACCACCATTTGGGCAAATTAGTTCATTTTCCACTTCTCCTTGAGTTAACCCTCCCACTGTCCTAATGGGTAGGACCCCACGAGGAAAGTTGACCATTGAGCAGGGTTGATGGTTCATCCCTTGGGTCCACGTGGCAGGGGTGAGGAGTGAGCACCACCTCCCCCCTCAGTGGCGGAGCTTGATATGTGCAACATGTGCGGCCGAACAGGGCGGCAGTCTGTAGGGGGCGGCATTTAATTTTTTTTTTTTTTTTTTCTTCCATCAACCGATACATCAACAAAACATAGAAATCACATGTTCTTCATAATAATAATAGTGATTAGTGATGATAATAATAATATTTCTGTAATAAAAGCACAACAAAGTCATTGTTTGCGTTTATATTGGGATTTTATTGCGCCCCCTTGTGTCCGCCGCGCCTCTGTAGTGCGCTCTATAGCGCCCTTCATCAGGTGGGGGGCGGAGGGATCTCGGAGAGTGATGATGGAGGGATACAGGTACCGTTTCACATATCACTGCTCACAAACATAATGGAGAAGAAGCGGTCGAAGCCATCTGGTGCCCAATTTTGGAAAAAAAGAAAAGAAGAGGAGGAGAAACGAGGAAAAGATGCAGGTATGCATCTCTTTATTATTTAGTTGGTATTTTTCCCGCCTGTCCCCCAACTTATTGATTACCTAACCTCTCTAATCTGAACGTTTTGCATGGTGCTATGATGATCCCTTCAAATGTCTTTTGCTAGCTTCTTATGTTGCATGCATTTAGAACTACTTCCAACCGCTAGCTTTTTCTTTGTCACATGAGCTTTTATGAAAAGCTAAGAGTGGAAAACCGAAAGGCTGATAACCAAACGCTATCAAATTAAAATTAGTCTTTGAGTATTTTGCTGAAATACATTGACGGCGGGCGGCAGGTCTCGCGCCGGCGCCATTCGCCTTTCTATTTGGACTCGGGAAATGAGCTACGTATTATTTACCCCACGAAAAACGGAGCGGCAGCGGGCCGCTGGAGGTGCCCTGCTAGTAAGATCCCGTTTATACTGTAAACTGCCATAACATAAAAACTATAATAGCTAGAGCGGTCTTTTTTTAGCTGAAAGTTGAGACTGTCTCGCCTTTCAGCACTGTACAAGTCGATGATGTCATCGTGTTGCGTTAAGTGTGCTGCACAGCACACCGCGGCTATGTTAACTCACAGTGACCAAGAAGCAGCGTGGGAGAGTTGAAGAATTTAACCAGTTAAAATGGATTCATGGATATTTAATCAATAGTTGTGGCTCCTCTTGTCATTTAGTTTTTTGTGTGCCGGAGACATTTGCTGAATAAGGAAATAAAAACTTAAAATGACAAAAAAAATTAGGGAAAAACACTTGTTTTGTATTTTATCAATTATTAATGATTAATAGATTGTTGGTGTTTTAACTTTTGGTAAAGGAAAACACACAATTTCCAGGCAGCCCCAGTCTGGAGAAGTGATGGTGACATCAGCCGTTAAAAATAAATAATACTCTGAGGTTTTTATTAATAATTTCTACTTTTACTTCAGTATTTCTCTAACAGCAGTACTTTTACTTGTAAATGAGTAATATTTTAGCAATGTAACAGTACTTGTACTTGAGTACAGATTTTCAGAATTCTTTCCACTACTGCTGAAAACTGTAAATGCTCATTGTAACATGTTAATTAAAATGCTTAAGCAACAGACGTGACATGAAGATTGTATTGTTTGTTTTATGCAACATCAGGAGCCCTACGCAGATATTTTGGGATGACATCAGCTGCCACTGAGGAACAGCCATCTACCTCCACTGCTCATAGGCCAGTATTTGAACTCGAGGAGGGAGAGTCTGCTGGCACCACATCTCCCCAGGAAGATACTTTAGGTGGGTTTTGCACACGTGTGTGTGTCCAGCAAACATTTAGCTATAGACATTTAAATAGTATTTTCACAGAATATGGGAATTGTTCCATATAGCAATGTGGTGAGTTATGCTTCCATTTTCTGTCAATAGAGAGACCTACCAGTCTATGTGAACTTGATGAGGGACAGCCAGCTACCACGTCTCCCCAACAAGATACGTCAGGTAAGTTTTGCACAAGTGTGTGTGTCCTGCAAACATTAGAGAAATTTGAATGTCACATATTGCATTTGAATAGAATATGTGAAATGGTCCACATAGCAATGTGTTGAGTTACGCTTCTGTTTTCTGTCAATAGAGAAGCCTGAACGATCAACCAATGAGTCCCATTGAAGGTGATGATGAGCCTCTTTCTTCAGACCCAGCCAAGTGGCCATCACCAATTACCGACAGCATACGCACAGAGCTAGTTCGAAGAGGACCTACCAAGGTGCCAACTACTTTCATATTTCCCAGGAATGAAGGCGATGGCGGGTGTTGTCATCATCACTATTTCAGTAGAACTTTGACAAGTGGTGAGAAGGTGGCCAGGAGCTGGATGTTGTATTCAGTTAGCAAACTTTGTTATATATAATACACTCCACGCCATTTGAAACAAAGTTGTAGGTGTAATTTTTTTTTCTTGTGTGTGTGTGTGTGTGGGGGGTGTCACGGGGGATCTCGCACAGGGCGCCATTTAGGCCAGCTCCGCCTCTGTCCCCCCTGCCACGTGGACCTCAAGGGATAAACTATCAACGCTGCTCAATGGTCAACTTTCCTCGCGGGGTCACCCATAAAGACAGTGGGAGGAACAGTTGAGTTTTACCCTTTTCTCTGTTCGTCCAGCCGTTCTGAGTCTGGCAACTCTCATTTGTGGCTTTAGTTTAGCGTGAATAATTGAATCGGATTAGCCCATAGGCTAATCCGATTCAATACTCAACTAGTTTTATGCCAAATGGCATAAAGTACTCACTGACTTACTTGATAGTGGTTAGTGTAATTCATATTTTATTAATGTTGAATTGATGTGCATCCTGATGTTGCTTTAAACCACCTACTCAAAGAAAGACTACACACTGCTGTTGTCCAGTTTTCAAAAGTGTGCGTTTGTAATTGTTTCTTTCAAATTTTGTTTTATTTTCTGTTTGAGTTGGCTTAATCGGTAACTTTAATTTGATCATAATTTGAAAATATATTTAATATAAACTCCAAATATTTAAGTTTATTTATGGTCTGATATACTCAAATATCTGAGTTTATAAACTCAGAAAATATGAGGCAACTGATTGCCTTACATTTTTTGAGTTCTGCCTACTTATTCGGGTTTACAGTTCATATATGAACTGTAAAGATTTTGTGGTGTCAGAGTTCACCTAACAGTTCAAGTGTTCATTTTTTTGCTTTGTGTGTTCACAGGGCATGCTCAGTTGAAGTTTCCATCTCTGCGCGTTCAAGATGTAAGAAAAATAACACGAAAGAAATGCAACAATGAAAACTTCAAAAAGGCATCAACAACCAAGCAAGTGGATCCATAAATTGGACTGATTTTTTTAAAGGCATTTTAAAAAAGTCTTTCAAAATGGACAGAATTAACGCGTCATGTTCAGAACAGTTTGCGTTCTCATCTTTGATTAATCCTGGTAAACAGGTCTGTTTTTGTTCTGTTCTAATTCTTTCTGTTTAATAAATTTAAACAAAATGACTTAGCTATTTCATTTACTTTTTTTTCTCTGCATAAAGACGAAGTATCAGTAAATAGTGGAAATTAAATGTATTGGTAGTAAGCAAATAGCAGATGTTAAATGTTACTTGCAGTATGTGTTTATAGAAAAAATAGAGATACTTAAATGTTCTAAAAGAATATTACGTCAAGTTTACTGTAAAGTGTACTTTCAAAACTGTAAGTATACACAATTATATAAGAAGTACACTACAAGTAAACATATATTATTACTTTAAGTATAATTTTAAGTATACATTCAAAGAGAAAAGTATACTCAATTATTTCAGAAGTACACTACAAGTAAACTTATAATGCTATTTAAAGTTTATTTTTAAGTATACTTTCAAGGCCAAAAGTTTACTCAATTTTATTAGAAGTAAACTTATACTGTTACTTTTAAGTATACTTTCAATGAGAAAAGTATACTCAACTATATCAGGAGTATACTACAAGTAAACTTATATTGTTACTTTTAAGTATACTTCCAAGGAGAAAAGTATACTCAATTATATCAGAAGTACACTACAAGTAAACTTATAAGTATACTTTCAAGGAGAAAAGTATACTCAACTATATCAGGAGTACACTACAAGTAAACATATTCTTACTTTTAAGTATACTTCCAAGGAGAAAAGTATACTCAATTATATCAGAAGTACACTACAAGTAAACTTATAAGTATACTTCCAAGGAGAAAAGTATACTCAATTATATCTGAAGTACACTCCAAGTACACTTGTGAGGTTACTTTAAGTATACTTTCAAAGAGAAAAGTATACTCAATTATATCAGAAGTACACTACAAATAAACTTAAATTATTACTTTGAAGTATACTTGTAGTATACTTCAAGTATACTTTTAGTGGCCCAATTTAGTCCCAAGGAGTATACTTCTAAGTAAACTTTAAGAACAAGTATGCAAATAAACTTCTGTACACTTAAGTATACTTGAAATTAGATACTTAAAGTATACTTCTTTTTCGTAAGGGATCTGAAGCTCATTTGAGAGTCATCAAGAATGACTTACAAGGCATTCATTCCTTCTAGAGACCAATGCAAATGTATTGATTAACCAAGTCAACTGCTCCTTTAAATCTAAACATGGTGCGGTTAATGAGAGACACAACTTCTACTCACAAAGGACGCCACTGAGATTCAATAAAGAGCAAATTGTTGGTAATTTTTTTTCTAATTCATATAAAATGCTGTCCAAAAAATCCTATTTGAAATGTTTATCATGGATATTTTGTTATAAAATACATAACAGCAGAGTTTTCTAGTAAAAAGTGTCCTTTCTCAGCAAAGCTTCTAAAAAGGCTCCTTTTTCTAAATGTGAACCTCTGACATAATCAAAGGGCGTTAGAAGCTAGGCTGCCTCAGCTCAGTGTGGAAAGTGGCTAGCTTTAGGGTAGAGAGGTCATGTGATCCAGTCAGTGTGTGTGCTTACTATTGTTGGATTGTGTTCATTTGGATAAACTAGAGTGTGTGAATGCTGTGTGTTTACTATTGTTGGATTGTGTTCATTTGGATAAACTAGAGTGTGTGAAGGCTGTACCAACTCCAGTGTGTCCGGACATCGAGTCCACGGGTTTCCAGACAAGAGAAACAACGCCTCTATCTCCATGCCTGAGGGCGTTTTGTGCAGCTGAAAAGACGGACTTCTGTAGCCCGCATCGGTCATTACGGGGACAGGGAGGTCCATGCTGGCTCCGTAGACCTGTAGTGGGTTTTAAAAAATGAAATGCAGATTTATGGAGCTCAGATCACCATCAGAACCAGGTCAGAACCGACCACCAGAAGACATGAGTGGCTCAGTGGGCTAGCTGGTTTCCGGGTCGGAACCGGATCAGAACCGCTGCCTGGACCACCAGGAGAGGATCGAGTGCTGCTTTTAAAAATACCAACTGGACTGGCTTGCTGGTGTTTGGGTCGGATCCAGCTCACAGAAGCCCGCATGAGCTCCAGAACCGGAAGCTCTCCCTCTCTCTAAAGCACTGAACTACTTTAGGTAAACGGATATTAACGAGTATGAGACCGCTGACAGACGCTTGTTAGTATTAATATTATATTAACTGACCAATACTATTTTAATTGTCTGGTACACGATAGTAATCAGTACAATATCTTAATGTTAGCACACAAGTTTAAGGTAACATGGTTAACTCACCTGCTGCCGCCGCCGCCCCCGCTTCTCCTCCTTCTCTCTGCTATGGATGATGGTTTCTCACTCTGGTTTGTCTCTGCCCTCTGGGTCGTGGAGCAAACTCATAACTTTATAGTTTTGGTCCATCAGAAGTATAATTATTAACATTTAAAGTTTCCTCTGTGTCAAAGCCGCATTAGAGTCCATACTTTTCTCTGGATTAAGCTAACAGGACTCCCTCAGCTGACGTCACTTGAAGTGGCAAAAAAAAATCTCTCACAAAAATGACTCTAAAAGCCAAAATAATTCATGTATGTGTAAAAAAAAAACTTTTAAAATGATTTTCTATTATGTTTCTCTAAACACTGGTTGATGGAAGTCTCTAACCTGCTATTTGCTCTTTAAACCTGCTCCTTGCTCATCAGCATTTACTTAGTTCTGCTGGTTCAACCCCAATATAACAGATCGGACATCTTTTTTGGCATAAAACAAATAAAACAAAAAATTTTACTCAGCATTCTTTTAATGCTCTTATGATTTTTTCATTTTTAATCTTTCTTTTAATGATAAACATAATATTTGTTCCTATTGTGAGTTTATGGTTGTGTTCAGCACCTTGGTTGTCTGATAAGGTCGTAGAAGGTGCTTTATAAATAAACAAATGAATGAATGAAATAAACAAATGAATGAATACCTCTGAGAGTCTGTTTTTTTGAAGAATTCAGATGTATTGTTCTATAAGCCATAATATTATATTTGTTGGTTTTTCTATTCTTAACACGTTTCTCATCACGTATAATAAGTTGTTGAAGTCTTACTCTAAAAATCTCGACCATATCAACTGTATGAGGAAAGAGAAAGTCATTTAGCGTCGTCTGACTGGCTACTAGAACACTGGGCTGCTGATTCTGTGGCAAGTCCCAGAAAAAGTCAGCTTTCATTCTGCAGTAAGCTCTCACAATCAACAAGTGTAACCCATGGCTCTTTACAGTTTAAAACAACACCAACACACACATTTGGCCACCACCCTTTCATTTCTCCACACAGTCCACAGGTGTTGGGATCATGAGGGTGTGGGATGCAAATGAAAGTTGGCGTATCCAATCGTTGCCTGACGTCAGGGTGCCACCCTTCATGGCAGCTAGCCCGCTGACAGAGCGAGCCATCTGGGCAGCGGGGAATCTGCCATAGGCCCATCCATTCCTGTGTCCTGCCCTCTGGGTCCACAGCCAGGGAAACAGACAGGGAGAGCTGGAGGGGATCGGCGCTCCTCAACTGCTCGCCAGGCTGGAGTATGTTTCCTAACATTCTAGCATTCAGTGGGGTCAATATTCTCCTCACTTTGCTTTATTTAAGGCTTCAGATTAGATTTATTCATGCTGACTGGTCACAGATATTTTGGTTATTGCAAACATAATATCACGCTGTGAGTCGGTGGGAGGTTAGGACCCAAAATGCAGACCCAGGATGACACAAGACAGGAGTAGTGAAAACGTAAAAATCCTTTATTTAGGGGTAAATCCAAAGGGCTGAAAGCCAAAAACCAAAAATCCAAGAATCAAAACCCTGGGAATATCCAAAAACACAAGAGACCTAGACAAATTCCAAATACCTAGAGAGGGGATGAGCAAACGCTGACACAAACAATGGACCAACAACCACATTGAGATGCAGACATGGTTATATACACAAGGGCTGATTAGGGGTGATTAGGGAATTGTGCACAGGTGAGACTAATAAACAGAGGAGGAGCACAACGGAGCAGGGGAGAAAACCAGACCTAAAAATGGGGAAGGGAGCAAAATGAACTGGAAGACTAATGATAAAAGGTGTCTAAGGAAAAACGTAAGGGGAACCTAGAGGGCCTGGAGGGGGTTGGGGACACACAGGGACACTGAAACCTGGAGGGAACACCTAAGGGGAAAAAACCTGGAGTGGGCTGGGGAACACAAGGAGGCACATGAGGAGCACAAGGAGACACGTGAGGGAAACCTAGAGAGGGATGAAGAACACAAGGAGACACATGAGGGAGATGCAGGACGCAGACCATGACACATAATTATGAATGCAAACATAATTTTACCAAAGCTAGAGTCACTAACTCTTAATTTGTCTTCTCAAGAGAAGAACCTGTGTGTGATTTTTGACTCTGAGCTAACTTTATTCCCCACATTAAGAACATTACAAAAATTGTTTTTTATCACCTGAAAAACATTGCCAGAGTCCGCCCCTTTCTCTCTCTGGCCAATACAGAGACGCTGATGCATGCTTTTATCACCAGTAGAATTGATTACTGTAATGCCCTGATATCTGGTCTTCCCAAAAAGAGTACCTCAGGCTTACAACTCCTACAAAATTCAGCAGTCCGTGTCCTGACGAAGACCAGGAGGTAGGAGCACATTACACCACTCTTAAACAAGCTGCTTTGGCTTCCTGTAAGTTTCAGGATTGATTTTAAAGTTCTTTTAATGGTTTTTAAATGTCTTAATGGTCTTGGGCCTTCTTATCTCCCAGAACTGCTTCATAAATACGAAACGTTGCGGTCCCTGCACTCCTCTGGCAGCCATCTCCTCATCATTCCAAAAGTCAGACACATTCCCAAGGCGAGGCATCCTTCCAGTTTAATGGCCCTCGCCTCTGGAACAGTCTGCCAGAGGACCTCAGGGCCGTAGAGAGTGTTCTTGTTTTTAAGGCCAGGCTAAAGACTCACCTTTTTAGTATAGCTTTTAATTGATTTTGATCTATTTTAGCCTGTTTTACCATCTTTTATATATTTTATCAGTTTTCTTACTTACTCTTTTAATTAAATGGCATATATTTTCTTTTGTATTAATTTTAACTTGTAATAATAATTAGTTTTAACCAGTCTTAATACTTTGTTGTACAATATTTTATAAATGTAATTATACATTTCTACTTGGTCACCTTTTATCACTGTTTTATTTAAACTTTTATTTATCAGCTGTTTATGTTTAATTTGTTTCTCAACTGTTATCTTAGTCTCATTAGTAAACTAGTGTTTCCTCTGTGGGGGCCAGCTGCCCCGGGGAGCAGCAGTGGGCTGTGGCGGCCGGGGTGCTTTTCGTGCCTCCTCTTGCCCAGGCTGCTGCTGCCGATCCTGGTGCAGTTGGCTCCTTTGATGGCGTTTCCGTCTTCTTTGTGCCAACTACATCTGCACTCAGCCAGCTGCCCTTTCTCTTTTACGTGTGTGTGTGTGTGTGTGTGTGTGAGTTTGCATCTGCTTGGGATGGGATTGAGGGAGGGAGGAGTGAGATACAAAGGGGATCTCTTATGTGAATCTGTGTGGGAGGGGTGGGAAACCGACTGCTGTCTGGTTGTTTTTAATATTGTAAAGCGCTTTGAGCTGCATTTGTATGAAAAGTGCTTCATAAATAAATTTGATTTGATATGATCACCAGATGATCAGAAGTCACTTGTCTGTACACTGTTTTACTTTACACACACACTTACACATACACATACACACATACACACACACACACACACACACACACACACACACACACATATAATTTCTCTGGTTTGCGGGGTTCTGTCTTGCCATTGGTTGCCCGGGAGACAGCCTGATCTCTGAAATGGCAGTGATGGCAAAGAGGCAAAACGTAAGAGAATCCTTACATCCTCTAGCTGGGTTATTTTTGGTGGACAAAGCTCTTCACGGTCCTTCGTAAAAAAGAAAAAAAAAACATAATCATTGCAAGTCTGAAACCAGAACTCATGAGACTAGTGAAACCTTCCCTACAAAGTGTTTTCAAGAGATGCTTCTCTTCAAGCAGTCCAGACAATAAATGTCCCCTAAAATGGATTTTGTTGACATTTACTTAGAGCAAAACACTGACATTTCTCAACCTCTAAAAGGTATTGTTCTGTGGCCCCACAGCTGACAAACCAATAATTAAACCAAACAGCTTTTATCCCTTTTAAACCATTTAAATGGGATTCTATCTGCTGATTGCAACTTTGATTTAGACACAAATGTCATTCTCTACAGTTTCTAGAGAATATGTTCCCAAATCTTCTCTGGCCCTCAAACAAGATTACCAGAGTTGTGATCCCAGTTATCTTTAACTGCAGGTAGTTCAGAATGCTTGTGACCAAGTCCTCCAAATACACCCACATCACCCTGCTTCTCCAGCTTCACTGGCTGCCAGTCAACTTGAGGGTTAATTTCAAGATCCTGATTCTGGTCTTTAGGGCCTTACATCGCATGTGTCAGACATAAAGGCCTGGCCCGCGGAGCATTTTTATGTGGCCTGCGAGATAAATATCAAAAACGTATTAAAACTGACCCGCTGGCCAATTTTACCACAAAGACTACAACTCCCATGATGCTTTGCGGCGTTAGCATGGAGCCGAAGCGCCCCCTCCTTTGTGTTTTTTCCAGAGTCTGCTGCCGTGTTGGTACAGGATCTGCTCAGGTGCAGGATCGGCTCAGGGTCCTTCGATTGCCGATGACGTCACATTACTGCAAATCTACTCTGCTTTCACACACGTTTTGGAAAGACATCAGCAGTTTTGTTAATAAATTTTTGTGTGTTAACACCTAAATGTTTTCTTTATAATTGTAATTTGTTAATAAAACACCATATTATCTTTGTTTTGTAAAGAATGTGAAACTGCATAAAACCAACATCGGACTGACAAGAAATAGAACAGTACTTATATGTGAAGCCATATCTGTTTGTATTAATGTGGAGTTCGTCTATATATTTCCTTAGTTGTTATCTAAATACATTCTTTGACTCCAAATATTGCTTGGTGTCTTTCAATAAAGTTCTTATATTTTATTTGCCCCATTTCATCAACATCAAGAGCTTTTGAGGGTCACCGTTTATCATTTGCTTATATTTCACATTTCCTTTAGAAATTCAAACACATTTTCTCCAAAAAGTGTTGATTTTTGGACTACAGGACTACAACCACTAACACTACGACTGCAAATTTGTTCTGACCAATCAAAACCATAACGTGATAACGTAACTTCCGTAAGCTTCATGTTCAGCCAATCAACTACTTTGACGTCATTGGCAGTCGAAGGACCCCGAGCAGATCATGCATCTGAGCAGATCCTGTACCGACACCGGTGTCTGCAGCTCCACTGTCTCGGACAAACTAAACACTCCTCTCACTCAGCGCCGAGCTTACTCAGCTATTTGCCAATGTTGAAGCCCAGAAACGGAGATTTTAACCGCTCAGTAATGTGTTCACGACTGAAAGAGAAAGTTTTCCAACTAACTTCCAGACAGAGCTGATATAACTCCAACAAGCAGTGACATGGTCAAATCAGCATGTCTCTGTGGCTGCTGTAGTTTTTATTTTTCCTCCCCCGACACACAACAACGTGGTCAAGCTGCTCAGACATGTTCAGCAGCACAAACCTATGTGAGCACCTGTTGTCATCTAATGTTGTCATTATTATGACGAAGATGAACAAAACAACAGGAGTCTCCTCCTCAGCTCAAATCAGCCCCATGATCAGAGCCGGATTAAATAAATGGACTACAATAGGCAGGCTGCATTTTAACATCCATCGATGTTATTTAATGAATTGAAATCTGAAACTTACCAAAGTTATTAATAAAAGTTCATTCACATTTTACATAGCCTAGTTTTTGGTTACAAATTGGTTGTTTGTATGCCAAAATAAGTCATGTGTTGTATGTTAAACACTCTATCAGACTATTTTTTTATATTAATCATTTATATGTCATTACACAGCTGTATTAAATGCTAATAAATTATCCTCATCTTATCGATTGGGAGTGCCATTATCAAGGCGGTACCAGTAAATAACCACTAGGTGTCATTAAACTATGTAAACAGAGCAAATATGTGTCTCTTATTTGCTCTGTTTATATTTAATCACTACATTTAATTAAAAAGATTTTCTGCTAAATACAATAGCTTACAACATTTATAAATTTTGACAAATTAATCACATGATGGTGGAAAGACATTCAAGAATAAATAGATTAATTTGAATGGACTGAAGCATGTTTTAAAGGCGCAAAAACAAACTATAAACACGCAGCCTAAATTATTACAGTATAAATTTAATACAATCTATAATCTTAAAAGAAAGTATTTTAATAAAATGAAAACGCTATCTTAAGTTTTTATCTTGCTTTAAGCTCATTCAGGCTGTTTTCGCCTCTGCTGAATCAGAAATTCTGTGTGAATTTTCTGAGTGTGAACTTATTGTTTGCTATTTGGACATTAATAAAATTATTTGAAAAATAATTAATAAAACCAGCAACACTTACCAAGGAAACCATTTAGCATTCTCCACTCCAGGATAATCTTCAGCCTTCCAGCATCACAGGCCTCAGTCACAGCAGAAACACGTCAAAAGAAATGTTCCTTGGTTAAGCTTCGGTTTATGTCTCCAGATTTCGTCTATGATGCAGAAGAATATCCAATATTTTGAGAGGGATGGTTTAGTGCAAAGTACTCATGCATCATATCATCAGTTTGGTACTACTTTGCAGGATCAGATGGGTAGCTAGCTGTTAATACCCTTTCTGGGTCTAGAGGCTCCTGTAAGACTATATTGGACTCACTTCTGGCTGGTTGCTGTTCTTTCAGTTTGTCCTTCTGTGACAGCGTTGATGTTGATGGCGTTGGTGCTACAGCGTCTTCTGCTGCATTTCCCGCGTCTTCGGGCCGTGTCTCCTCCAGGTCTTGCTCGGGCCCGGCCTCTGGCTCTGCTGACTCGAGCAGGTTCACAGCTGTCGGACAGCTGCCCGAGCAGCCCGACAGAAACTTCTGTAAAGCCCCCTCCCACCCCACCCCGTCTCTTCTTTTGTTCCTCTTCATTTTTTTCTTTATACGTTTTGCCGCACCTGAAAGCATCGTGAAAGTTAGCCTACTCAAAACACCTGCTAGCTTTGTTGTGTCCCGCGCTGACTGACCGCTTCTCTGACGTCCTTAATTGGGTGGCGCCTTAATGTGACGTAGCCAATGAAACAGTCAATGGTTAAGATAAACAATGTCACTATTTTAAGTTAATTAATAAATATTGAAATAATTGTAGATAGGAGTCCTATCTACAAATTCTATCATAGGACATTTGTACATTTAATTTTTAATTTATTTATTTTTAATTTTGTTCCTCTGTCTGGGCCCCATCCAGCCAATCAGGCCCTAGGCACGTGCCTACTTTGCCTTTGCGTTAATCGGGCTCTGCCCATGATGCAGGTATCTGGCTGGAACAGGTGAGCATCACAGTAAATCAGCGGAGCAAACAGCGCTTTGAATATTTTGGTTTCATGCTCTTTTTCTGCTCCAAAACATGAAAGTTAACAGGTGAGATTTTGCATTTTCATTTAAGATAAAATGATATATTTATTTTGTTGTTGGCCAGTGAGAAAAGATTTAATCTACAGTAAATAGGAAGTGGAAAGGCTGCAGATAGATTAATAGAATAGAAAATCCCTTTATTGTTCCTCAGTGGGAAAGCTAGATGTCACAGCAGTGATGACACTTATTACAGGAGAAAATAGGGAGAATAAAAATATAAGAAAAATGAATAAACAAGAAAACATAAATCCTGAATAGATTTTAAAAATGCTGAACATACCACAAGTAATGAATTCCACTGATGTGTTTAAGACTGACTTGCTCGTGTGTAATTTGGTTATTCCATATTCAGTGTTAATGCAAAAATAAGTTTGTTTCCAAATTAAAAGGTTCAAAATTGCACATATGTTGGTAAAGAAAATGAGCAAATTTGCTGTCACTTTTTCAAAAGATATTAAGTTTGGTCCCCAACTTTGTCGCAGATTTTCATTTCGGCACAGTGTGAATTTGAGTTTGACACCCCTGATATACATGGACAAGCACCATCTTACAGTGGTGATCTTCTCAGTCCCTACACCCCCAGCAGGTCCCTGAGGTCCAGTGACCAAAGCCTACTGGTTGTGCAGCACCAGGCTAAAGACCAAAGGTGGCAGATCATTGTGTGACCTTTATCATCACCCTCTCCTTGTTCTGCTCTTATTCCGCCTTTCCCACGATCCACTGATTTCCCTCTTTCCTATCCATTTTCTTTCTCCCTTTCCTTACAGGTTTAATCACAATTGTTTTCTTCTCATTTTAAACATAGTTTTAATCTTTTTTTAAATGTTTATATATATATATATATATATATATATATATATATATATATATATATATATATATATATATATATATATATACATATAGCCTCGTGATTTTTATCTTAAGAGATGTTATATAAAAGATTGTTTTCTTTCTTTCTCGTTTTTCTTTAGTTGAACGCAACATGAAAACAATCTTAATAAAGAACAAAATGAAGAACAACAGCTTCCTCTACTGCACATTTTCTGTCTATGTTTGGCAAATATGTTGAGCTTTTACATACATTTCTTGGAAAAGGGTCAAGTTTTCAAATTTTACTTGATTTCAGAAAAATCAACTCAAGACCCCAAACAGTGTTTAGTGACTCACGTTGGGGTCATGTCCCCTGATATAAAAATCCATGCTCTGAAGAAGGAAGGCTACTGCTGTTCCTATTCTGAGAAGATCTAATTACTCTTCTTGACACTTAGTCCTCTGTGGGCTGGGAACACCTAGGAATACCAAGAAGAGCTGGGAGAGTGATGTCTGGATTTCTGATGTCTGCATCTCAAACTTGGATAAGTGGTAGAAAATAGATGAACGAACAGGTGAATGAATCAGTCAATATACGGATGGACGGATGGATTGATGGCCTAGTGTCTCTGTTAAACCTGTTCTGTGTGGCTGTTCATATATTAATGACCATTTCAGACCATATTAATGAGCTTTTTAGGTCAAACTGACAGCATCAAAGAACTTTTTTAATATTCCTCTTTTAAAGAAGAAGCGTTTGTTTCTTGTTTCAGGTCAGCCTTGACTTAGTGACACCATCAGAACCCTTCCATCCCCTCTGTTTGTCCCACATGATTCGAGTGCGACAACAGACCCAAAATCAGAAAGCATGCCCTATGTCTGCAGCAGCCAGTGGGTGACCGAGTCTACAATGTACCCACTAGAAAGGGAAGAGACACTGTAAAGTGAACTCAGACCACTTTGGAATGAGGCTGAAGCCGATTATGTGGAAACTGAGTTCTTGTTTGGTTCATTTAACATAAGAAAAACAAAGCTCTCACACAGCCGCTGCTCATGTCAGCTTGAAACGATGGCAAACCACTTAACAGTCCTGTCTTCTTCTCCATGTCTGTCTGTCTCTGTCTGCACCTGACAAAGTGATGGACACACTGATGGATGTTTTTTCCCTGTTCGCTTAGTCAGCTCTGGAACAGAAGGCTCGCAGTGACATTTACCCACACACCGTTCTTGACACCTCCACGTACTGAACTTCCACTCTGAGAGTGCAGAGGGAAGAGTTTGTTTGGTTACAGAGCACAAACACAAGCCAACAGCTAACTAAAGAGGCTTAAAATGTAGCAGTGAAACAATCCCACATGTCTTCGCTTCACTGTGAAGCAGTTGTTAATGTTTATGTTGTTCTTGTTGATTTTTGCCCTGTGGTAGCTAGTGAGATAGATGTTTAATGTGTAAAGTGGTTTTTCCTGCTGCTGTTGCCCAATCCTAATGGTTCAGGGGTCTCATTTATCAAACATTGCGTAGAATCCTTACTAAAACTGTACTTAAGCTCAGCAAAAAAATGTACTTACGCCAAGCAGGTTTGTGATCTATCAAACATGGAGTACACACAACTGCACGCAATCTCAGCTTCATCAATCAGAGACTATCTAGAAAGGTTCTCAGCTGCGTTTTAGTCACATCCGCCCTCACCACGTCCACTTACTGCCATAAATAGTCAATGCAAAGTGCCTTGTGGATCTCATGCATTTACATAAGCCGGCTGTTGCAGCGCTCCGCTAATGACATGGAAACCGTAGATCAAGGCAGATCAACGAAGTGCAATTTCACAGAAGCAGAAATTGAGGTACCTGTGGGTGAGGTGCAGAAATGAAAGGAAGTGCTTTTGCAAAACAAATAAGAGAAAATCCACAGAGTGGCACAGCGTTGCTGAAGCCTTCAATGTTGTGAATTCTTCAGAGAGATCTGTGGCAGATATAAAAAAAATGGTCCAGTCGGGATTCAATCCCCAGACTTCCGGGTGAAAGTCACACGCACTAACTAGTCAGCCAAACAGAGATCCCTCCTGTACAAGTAGCCAGGGCGTATCATAAATCGGGTCACAGTGACTGGACGCACACTGTCACAGACGCATGACATTCTGTCTCAATCTGTCCCCCTGTCTGTATTCTGTGCAACAGGCTGTGTTTGTGTGTGCGCGCGCGCGTGTGTGTGAATGCGCGCGTGTGTGAGTGTGCACGTGCGTGCACGTGTGTGCGTACGCGCACATGAGTGTGCAAGTGGGGGTTCTTGTTCTGTGTGAAAACGAAGCGGTACAAATGATAATGCTGCAGGATTTCATAATTGTATCGTTCTCAGCAGCAGCACTGCAGGTGCTCTCCATGTCCAAAATGTGCGTAAGCCAGGTCCTTAGTCAACTTAAAGTTGCACTCATTTTTCGGGCTCAGTAAATAGTGGTTTAGCAATATTGTCCGGGGGAAATATGGAGAAATTTTGGAGAATGGTGGCTCCGGGTTGGAGAGATGGTCAAATTAATTGCGTCATTTACTTTTAACACGTTAAAATAACAAAATTAACGTTAATAATTAACGCACAATTTTTCCCAGCCCTAATTTATATATACATATACACACATATATATATATATATATACACACATATATATATATATATATATATACATACATGTATGTAGACCCCTTATTTGTTTACAAACATGGCGGATGTGCGCCGGCCCTTTAAGACAGTGTTGTTTTCAGCGGTCATTGTGTTGGAGTTGCCCTATGTTGTTAGCTAGATGATTCAGTATACTACAGCAGTTTGTCACGAAGTGACCAGAAGGATTATGCAGCAAAGTTAACTTTAGTGAATGGGAAACAACTTAAAGACCCCTACGCATTACATGCAGGTGAGTAGATAAACGGCGAGACAAGATGGCCCAAACTGCAATGGCCACATATCCACTCTTACCTGATCGACACACCGCGTCTCTGCTCCTGAGAGGGCCTGAAGTCCTACACAACACTGGATGCCTACAGCTGCTTGACAGACAATCATGTTCAGGACTATTACATGATTACAACACTGAAAATTTTGTGGTTCTGGAGACTGAGGTGCTGCCTGGTCAAAGACAAGAGTGTCTAGTGTGGCGTTGGTATAATGCTAACGCCATTGGTTGCAACCAAAACCCTATCCTTTGTTAACCGTATCCTGAGTGTGTTAAACCGACCCTGAACTGTGTTAACCAGCGATACTTTTAAGCTCAAGTTGTGCTTACTTCATGTGAAGTGGTCACTGCAGATAGATGCATTTTTGACTATCTCTTCATTCCAGTCGCTTCTTCTGATGGCTTGAAACCAAGATGTCTTCTGTTTGCCTTGAAAGGGATCCGAGTTGATGGAATTCTGTAAAACTTGCAAGTGTTGTTGTTTTTATCGTAATGGTTGGTGCAACCAACAACACAACAAAATGTTGGCATGATAGCAAAGCTAACGCTGTCTACCTAGGACATGCGCGGGAGAGCGGATTGTGACGGGTCGTGACGTAGGCTGATAAGGGGTCCATACATACATTTAATATATGTGTGTTTGTATATTTGTATAATTATATCTTCCCTGTTGTATAAGAATAATTTTTTAGATATTATAGTTTACAGTGTTTCCCCTAGGAATTTTTCCAGCTGTGGCGGTGGGGCTGGCCGTGGGTGGGTGGGGGGGTGGGGGGCTTGGGGAGAAATTATGACACATCTCTAAATAAAGTTAAATTTTCTAGTGCAGAGTGGAGACAACCCATAGAAGCACTAATTTGATCTCATTTCAGAGAAAAATAGAACAGGTTAGATGCACCTAATAAAAAAAATTACTAACAAACTCAGGAATCTGTTTCTTTGCTTCACTGTTCTGGTGCTGAGAATATCACTAATGCAGATCAAAGGAGATACACAGCTGAATGCACCTCTTACTTATTATTTGGAGACTACAATTACTGCAGCTGGCAGAGGCAGAGATTTTTTCTATTGATACAGGGAATATACAAAATCATTTTAAATTTTAATAGGGGAAGACTGCAGGAGGGAGCAGTAAAATACAGGGGGTCCCCAGCAAAAACAAGAAATATTGCGAGTCTGATGAAACCCGCTGGTTTTCCATCAGGCAGTCACGGGGCAGCTCCAACGACCCAGTGGCTGTGCTGGGTCAATGTTATCGAGCTCAGTCCGGCTCGGCCGTAAACGAGCCGAGGCGACGTTGTGCTCTGCTTAAGAAGAAGTGTTATTTTCCCGCTTCAGAAGAAGCGTTCAACGTGTTTTTACGTTTTCTCCGAGACATGTCACGTCGCTAAGTTGTTAGCGCTGCGCGCTAACACGTCAATAGTGCAGCGTAGCCTGCTGGAGGTTTTAAGGGTTCAGATGAAACACCCGACCACTCAGGCTGCTCACACATCGATCTTAAGATGTCGCTGTTGCGCTCACGCCGTAATACAGTATTAGATGCAGTTAAAATCAGACATGAAAAAATAAATAAATTTTACATGAATAAGTGATGCTTAGTCTGGTGGGGGGAGGAAACCTGGCCTAATAAGCACTGGAGGAAACCCTGTCAAGATCGTCAACACTCGTTTATCTTAATGCTATTGAAACATGTAAACCAGAAAAGCATTATATCCACTGCTACCTTTCTAATTTTAAACTCAGTAACTTATGCTGTAACCAAGGGCGGAAATCCATTTTCAATTTTTTTGGGGGGGGGGGGGGCGCCATAAACAGTAAAACTTCAGAGAGTAATTTTTTGGGGGGACATGAAAAAAAATGCTCTCTACATACAACACTGTATCTCATTATAAGAGACTGACCTGTGACTCTGTGCCTGTGTCTGAGAGGCTCTGGCTGCCTGTGCTCAAGTGACTGGACTTTGCTTATTGAAACCATTTAGAAACAATTTAGTAGGCATTTAATTTCTTTCTTATAGACGTCTATCAAAATGCAAGTTTCTACTTACTTGACGTTCTGGAGCATTAAAAAACGACCTGATATCTGCCGTTTTTCGTTTCTCTGCCATTTCAGCTGACCTGTTCTGCTGACAGTTAAACAGCAACACACACACACAGATGGGATATTGTCATTAGAACAGAGCTGGAGGATATTGATCAACAATAATATCTTGCCAATTTTGTACATCTCCATAAGCATCCTTTCTTTTTTTTCATTTCAATAATAAGACTGTGGCCTAAAACGGAATAAGCAATTCAGAATAAAGATTTAAAAGTAGATCGTTAATAGTTGAAGCAACATGTCCTGAAATGACATCGCTATTAGCTGACCAACAACTACACGTGTGGATGGATGCAAAGCATTAATTTTAAGTACTAAAACATATCTAACTTTTTCACAACAAAGAGGAAGAACATAAAATGTCAAATTAAAATTTTATTAAATCACATAACATGAAAGCTACTAAAATCCAAATAGTTCCATATTGATTTTAATATATTTGAAATTTCCCTTCTAAATATGGCTATGTCATGCTGTGGGTAAGAGCTTTCACCCAGGACATGAAGAATCACATCAGAGGAACGGTGAGTAAAAGTAAAATGGTTTATTTACAATGAAGAACAACAGAAAAGGCAAAAACTAACTAAAGGCGCTGCTTCAGATCAGGAACAGGAGGAGACCGGAATCTACGGGAATATAAGCAGAAGGTGAGCGAGACCAGAACCAGAGAACCAGGAGATGAGTCTGTGACTGGGAAAGTTCTTACGGTCATGAGTCGGAACCAGAGCGGAGGCGAACTGAGGAAGGTCGGACCAGAAGAGGAGTTCAGAGCGTGAGGCAGGCGGGCAGACGTGGAGAGAGGAATCCAGAGGATCTTTAAGCGACGAGACGTGGGAACAACTCCAGGCAAGGTAGGTGATGCAGGTACAGGTTACTGGAACGGAGTTCAAAGTTATCAACATGGAAACACGGACAAGCAGGCAGGTTCAGAGGCTAGAGAACTACCCATGTGAGAGTATCAGCCGGCACTGGAGTTGAGTCGCACCGCTCCTTAAATCCTCTGTCCCTCTATTAGTCGAACTCCCAACAGGTGTGCCGTCTGCCGCGCCTACCTGCAACACAAAAAAAACCCAGAAAATCCACCAGTAGGAGGCAAACCGTGACAGGCTAGAAAAAATAACAAACTTCAAATCAGCTTTCACAAGTCAAGTATGACTGAAATCTCTTTAATAAATGATAGAAATGTTTGTAGGCTATTAGAGAATAACTATGTAATATTTAATAACTTTATCTAAGTCCTACTGAAAGAAAAGATACACAAAATCTAAAAATATATTCTTGAAATATTTGTTTCATTTTCATAATAAAAATTAAAAACATTTACTTTACAAATAAACTAAACATATACATACTCTAGTTTATCTTTCGGTTTAATCGATCTGTCACTTTTCTCAGTTTTCATAGTGTTTTTGGGTCTGTGGCCAACGGGATCTTTGGCTCTGTTTTACACTGAGAGCTTTGAGCAACGTCCCTCCACCACACATTTGCTGCAACCAGTTCATCCCTAAGCTGCACGGTGCACCTGCACTTTGACATATTGTATACAACTGCAGAGCCTGGGGAAGACGTGATAAGAGCGGTTAAACGCTGTGGTTTTCCATACATCGGACCAGTTAGTTTTGATTCTACAATATTCATCTGCTAAAAAGGATGAAACGCGGACATTTTCATCTATCAATAAATGCTCCGTAGATTCTAGGAGAAGACTGTGAAAGCATACATGTCCGGAAAAAGGAACTTTTGATCACGTTAGTGAATGGAATAATAATAGCAGAATAATCCTAGAATGACCAGAGAACATGAAGTGACAACTTTTTTTTTTTTTACTGTGGTGGTCTGTCAAAGGGATCTCCGACCGGTGATCAAAATCTAAAGATAATCGGTGTCTATGTTTGACATGTATGACCACATCTGACATACATATTTAAGTTTGTAGAACAAGCGTGTGATAAATGACTTACTGCTGGAAACCTCTGACATTTTGATTCCCGCCTCCTGTGAGCCGGCGGGCTGCTGTGAAGCTGTGAGCGGGGCAGAGCCGGCAGCCCCGCCCGTTGGAAACAGCGTGTGTGGACCGACCGTACCAACTTGAGGAATTGGGTGGTGAGGGGTGGACTATAATTTCTCAACAATTAAAAACACATTGTTTTGTACAATACAGGTTTACTGATAGCCTTTATGTGTTTACAATAACTTTTGTGGGGCGACAACTTTGTGTCCCCCCTGGGATCTCCGCCTATGGCTGTAACTTCACCTTGCCCTGCCTACTCCTCCTTTCTGCCTGACGGCTGTGATCACAAGCCACAACATAGTAGTTCCCGCTGCTTCTTTGGGAAACAGCGAAAAAAAAAAAATAATAACTTGGGATCTTGCAGGCGTGGCGGTGGGATTTCAGCCGTGGCGGCCCACCACGGCTACGGCTATGTAAGGGAAACCCTGTGTTTAGAATGACCTGAAAAAGTATTAAAATACACGTACTATAGTATAATGTTTGCCTGTAGTCAATGGTTAGTCGCCAGTTACCATTAGGCTTCTTTACCGGCCACAATGGAGCCAAGTAGGTGCTGTTGCAGGGTCGGATGATCCCTTTAGCCAAGAGGCTTTCAATGATTTCCTGGACTGGTCCGTTGAATGCCAGGGGAATCTTGTATGGACGCACAAAAGTCAGCGCAGTGTGTGGCCGTGTAGGAATCATGACCTCATGGATAGTGGTTAGACCGCAGTCCAAGGAGTTGAATGAAAGAAAATCTTTGTATTTTAGTAAAAGTTGTCATAGTTTGTCTCGCTCGACATCGTTGGTAAGAGCATCTGCTTGGTCCACAACCTGTTCAATCTGAGAGAAAACATCGGAGGGGGTCTCTGATGGCTTTGAGCTCGGCAGTGAGCATGCGGTTTCCCCATGCTCAGAATCACCTACCGCAAGGCAGCGTGAGTCGGAGAAAGAAGGTGGAGTGAACGGCAGAGGTTCTATTTCGTCTAGTCTTAGCCCTTAAGCGAGCTGCTATTGGAAGGATGATCTCCGCATCAGCCAATCATGAAGAGCTTGAATGTACGCCGACTAATAGTGGGCCCCCTTGTGGGTATATAAGTGGAGCGACTCCACTGTTCGCCTCCTTTTTCTCTTCATGCCAATCCTGAGAGCTTCTTTAAAGAGCAATTATGAAGAAGATTACGACTCACCAGCCATGTCCAGCGACGCCAGAACCTGCCCGGCCTGCCAGACGGGCTCCATTTCCAGCGGGGACCTGCACGCCAAATGCGAGGTCTGTCTCGGGGCTCATCACGCTGGCCTGGCCTTGACCCCCCAGACCTCGTGCCCGTTTTGTGCCGCTCTGCCTGTGGCTGAGAAGATCCGCCGGGTTGAGTGCTTCACTCCCGCTGCCGACGAGGAATTCCCGGTGGCTGAGACGTGTTCGCTGGACAAGGCTTTGGACTTCTTCAACGCCGGTCAGGAGCCGGCTGGCTTCAACCGGCTGGATGACATCACTGACAGCGAGGACTACGACGAGGCTAGCCGCCTTAGCCATTCCTCCCTCCTAGACAACACGGAGGTCGACGAGCCTGGCTCAGCGGGTCTTCCTGCCCCAGCGGCTTCTCGCTCCTTCTTACCAGCAGATAAGAGCACTGCTCCAGGAGCTGCCCGCAGCTGCTGTCCGCAAGGGGCTAGCTGTTCCAGAACCGCCCCCGCCCAAAGTTGATGACTTGGCGGGAATTTTCGGGACAACTAAGACGCGCTGTCCAGACCCTATCTGGCTATGCTTCCCCGCTGCTATGGGCTGCTGGTCCGCCACCTTCACCGAGACTGCAAAGCTCAAGGCGCCAGTGTCCACCTACGCGCCCATCACCAAGGTCGAGGGCTTCTCCGACCAGGGCTGGCCGTCTGTTCCTCCACTCGAGCCGGACTTGGCCTCGCTGTTTGGCGCCAAGAACCACCTCACTGGCCCGCGAGCAGTTCCCGCTTCGAAACATGACTAGCTGCTGACACGGCTCACCGACCGCGCACACCAGTGTGCCTTTCAGACCGGCGCTGCAGGGAATAACATCGCCCTTCACGCCTTCGGCGTTTCGAAGATGATGGAGGAGCTGGACGCTCCCGACGAGTCGAAGACCGCCATCATTAAAACTACTGATGCTATCCTCAATCTATGCGCTGCTGTGCTCACCGGTTCTGCTCGCATTGCTGCCTAGCAGACCCTCATCCAGCAGGCCCTGTGGCTCAAGGCCCTGCCCTCCATTCCTGATCACCTGCACAGAGAGATGCTGGAAGGCCCCATCACCTCTGACGTTTTGTTCGGTCCCCATCTTAGGGGCGTCATCGAGAGGGCTCAGAAGACAGCTGAACTGAGACCTGGTCCACCCTCGGTTAGCCTCGCACTCCGGCCGTTCCGCCAGAGGATGGGACGAACGGCTTGGGAACTTCAGGCGCCCGGCTAGGCCGCCCGCTCCACGGAGCTGGACCCCCACTTTGACTCCACCTCAGCGAGACCAGCGAGTTGGTGGCCAACGGGTTCGGCGGAGCCAGCAGACGCCATCGTGGCAGTCGCAGGCGCAGGAACCTCACCGGAAGCAGCCACGGAAATGACTCCTTGGGGGGAATGTGTGTGTTCATGAGTGTAATGCTGTTGATGCTGCTGTTGATGTTGGTTTTGAAATAAAATCAAAAAAACATCACTCAAAGAGCTCAATCCTACAATCCTCTGCAGAGTCCTCTGCCGGCTCTTCACACACGTTCCCCACATCAAGCACTGCGGCACATATACGTATTCCCACAGTCAGTCATGTCTCACGGCCAGCTGTAAAGGTGCGCACCATTCGCGCACCGGCCTCCGGCCAGGCCCAGCCCGTCCCGTGTTCCCCACAACGCTGGGTGGGACGGGACGTCATGACGCGGCCGCGGTCACGCGCAGCGGTACAGTACGCGGCTCCGTCCGTGGGCACTTTGCCGTGCCCGTGTATGGACCCAGCTCCCACTCGCCCTGCTTCTTTGGTCTCCACACCCCGCGGTGCGGATCAGCCTCTTCCAACTGGTTCACACTCGCTCTTTCGAGCACAGCCCTCCATGGGTCGCCCCCAGTCTTCTGGGGCGAGCGACGGCGGTAAGGGCGCATACTCAGTCTTCAGACATTACTCAAGTGACCGCGAACACGCGTCCGCAGTCAGAACGCACGCGCAAATGGTGCCGCCTTTGTGCCATGAGCACATGGATATTGGAGACCATTCATTACGGTCACGCACTCCATTTTCAGGCCGCTCCTCCTGCCTTCAACGGGATTGTGGAGACAACGTTCACATCACAAGTTCAGTCTCAGACCCTAGAGTTGGAGCTGCGGAAACTTCTGTCCAAGGACGCTATTTCCCGAGTCTCTCGTGGACAAGAGCTCTCGGGTTTCTACTCCCGCTACTTCGTAGTACCGTAGAAGTCGGGAGGAATGAGACCGATTCTCGATCTTTCCCTGTTTAACTGCTCCATAGCAGTGATGCATTTCTGCATGTTGACAATGAGGCAAGTCCTGGAATACGTGCGTTCGAGACTGGTTCATGTCAATAGACCTGAAAGACGCATACTTCCACATCCCGGTAATTCCCAGGCACCGGAAGTTCCTGCGCTTCTCATTCAGGGGAGTTCAATACCAATTCAATTGTCTCCCTTTCGGCTACTCGCTAGCCCCGCGCACTTTCTCCAAATGTCTGGAGACCGCACTGCAGCTGCTGCGCGTGGCGGGAATGAGAGTTTTATTCTACCTGGACGACCTGCTCCTGTGCGCTTGGTCCGAGGACGAGGCGTCGGAACAGACCAGGAAGTTAACGGAGCATTTGTCAACCCTGGGGTTTTCTATAAACTGGGAGAAGAGCTCCATCCTTCCGTCCCAGTCCAATGTGTTTCTCGGGGTGGAGCTGAATGCCTCCCTGATGAGAGCACGTTTGTCGCCGGTGAGAGCGGCAGATCTCATCGAGGTGATCTCCCGAGTGCAACCCCGCAGGATCGTGAGAGCCCTATTAATCATGAAACTTCTGGGCATGATGGCTGCAGCCCACACTGTGGTGCTGCTAG